AAAAAAAAAAAAAAAAAAAAAAAGCTTTTCAGGGTATGTTCTGACTTCTCAGTTCCATTTTCTTCCAGGGAAATAAAAGAAACCAACATTCATAAGTTCCTGTGTAATCATCTTATATATAAGAGGAAAATTAGCATGTAGTACACATCTTTAATCTTAGCTACTTGGAGGCTGAAGCAGGAAGATGGCAAGTTCAAGGCCAGCCTGGGCAACTTGGCAAGACCCTGTCTCAAAGTAAAATTACAAAGGACTGGGGATGTAGCTCAGTGGTAGAGTGTTTGCCTAGCATGCATGATGCCCTGGGTTCAATCTCCAATGCTTCCAAAAAAATTGTAAGAAGAAAATTAAAAAGCAATAAAAGTTATCCGTCCGTAAAAAAAAATAACATGTTCATCTGTAAGAAGTTCCCTATAAATAATGGTCTAAACAAATAGTTCACTGTTTTTCTCCAACAAAGAGATCCATAGATACACAGTAGCTGTCTTTTGGTTCAGCCTCTAAGTATCACTGTCAGGGCCCTAGATCCCAAGAGCCCCTTGTCTTTCCTGTACATTGGCTTCTCATGCTTGTTACTTCATGGTTGCAATATGGCTGCTGCAGCACAAGTTATCTTGTCTGTCTTCAAGACAGGAATAAGAGAGAAGGTATATCTCTCAGCAGCCCTTTTATCTCCTTTGCATCTTGGATCAAAATCATCCCTTTGAACTTCTCTCTCAGGCCCACCCTGAAATGCTTTGGACTTCAACCTCCTGTCTGTTGTTTAGGTTGCTCATATCTTCCTGGGTTGTTCAGTTTTCTCTTTCTTGGCTCTAGTAACATAACAATCTATTGCTTCCTAGGACAACTTGTAATGGGACCCAAAGGGGAGCGAGGATATCCTGGGCCCCCAGGAAGATGTCTTTGTGGACCCTCTGTGAATGTGAATAACCCTTCCTACGGGGAATCCATGTACGGGCCCAGCTCCCTGCGAGTTCCTGTGGTAAGGCTTCTGGGTAAAGTCTGGGAGGTTATCCATGAGAACCTGCTCCTCTCAGGGCCTGCAAAATCCTTTTAGTAAAATTTTTTTTCTTCCATTACACTGGGCACTCACTCATAGGGAATCACAAAATAACAGAAAATCGAAAGAAGAAAACCATATTTTCCATTTTGTTATTGGACCATTTGGGGGTATTTTCTTTGCTTTAAAAAAATAATGGCTTTGAGGCCAGGCACAGTGGCTCAGGAGGCTGAGGCAGGAGGATTGCGAGTTCAAAGCCAGCCTCAGCAATCTAGTGAGGCCCTATGCCACTCAGTGAGACCCTGCCTCAAAATAAAAAAATAAAAAAGGGCTGAGGATGTGGCTCAGTGGTTCAGTGCCCCTGGGTTCAATACCCAGCACCAATAAATAAGTAAACAAACAAAATAGCTTTGATATGGTTCAGATTATATTGTACAAAAATGTTCTGCTCTAGTTCTCAGTTGAAGTCCCACATTTTCATACTCTATATAAATATCATTCTTATAAAACATTTCAAATAAATATAAAAGCAGAAAAAAATAATGTAACAAATCCCAGGAAATAAGGATCAACTCATGACCATCCGCATTTCCTTGTTTTCTCTTTATACCTACTCTCAAATACCTACCCTCGGATGATGATGATGATGATGATGATGATGATGATGATTTATTACGTTTTTTGGTACCAGGGATTGAACCCAGGGGCACTTAACCACTGAGCCCCATCCCCAGCCTTATTTGTATTAAGAGACAGGGTCTCTCTGAGTTGTTTAGGGCCTCACTAAGTTACTGAGGCTGGCTTTGAACTCACCATCCTCCTGCCTAAGCCTCCCGAGCTGCTGGGATTACAGGTGTGCGCCACCACACTCAGCCCCTTGGATCATTTTGAAGTGAATGGATATCCATTGATGCACACTCACCCCTCCATCATGTCACTGGGCTGTGATTTATTTAACCAGTGCCAGCCACTGATTGGGTGCTCCTGAGCTTTTCACTCATGTAAATAATGCTGCAATGAGCATCTTTGGTTACGATCATTTTGTTAAGCATCATTTCCAGATGTGGAACTGCTTAACTATAGGACCTCACCTCTTCATCTGAGTCTTGGGAACATCTAAAAAGGTTAAATCATGACATTTATTCTAATTTCAAACTCAGACATCAGGAACTGGATTGGGAACGGGACATTCCTCCTGAGTCAGAAGGAATACGGCAGCGGGCTGCACAGCCCCCTTCCCACGGCCAACCAGCCATGCGTAGAGATTCTGTGTGCTCCCCCAGCTCTTCCCGGCCCCCTGGAGAAGTGTCTCCTGGAGTCCTCACCAGTGTGTTCTCTGGCAGATTTTTGTGGTCAACAACCAGGAGGAACTCGAGAGGCTGAACACTCAGAACGCCATTGCCTTCCGCAGAGACCAGAGATCTCTGTACTTCAAGGACAGCCTTGGCTGGCTTCCCATCCAGGTACCCCAAAGCAGACCCCCCCTCAGGACACCCCCAACTCAGGACAGGTAAAACATCCATTAAAGGAAGGGTCTGGACAGAGCTCCTGCAGTCTGTCTCCACGACAGACCTTCCCTGAGCATCTCTGTGCTCTTCCATTCCCCATCAAAGCTCCACTCTGAGGCAAGAGCCCCCAACCCTGTCCAGTCCCTGTACCCCCTAGAATGCTACCTCATTAGACCTGCCAGAGTTGAGGGCAAGCAACGGGAAGAGGACCTTCCCCACCTCCAGGAGGAAGCTAAGGGATGCCTCAGCCATGGTCCCTGCACCCAGAGCATCTGTCCCCGGTGCACTGACCTCCCTGCCCGATGGCTGCCTGGGTGTGCCACCCCCTGCTTAATGTTGTGTGTTTCTTTGGCCAGCTGACCCCTTTCTACCCTGTGGATTCCACTGTAGACCAGCGTGGCACCTGTGGGGATGGGGTCCTGCAGCCTGGGGAGGAGTGTGACGACGGGAACCAGGACGAGGGTGACGACTGCATCCGTGAGTGGGGGGCCCCGCCCAGGAGGACCTGAGACCAGGACAGCCATGGGGTGGGGGTCAAGGCCAGCCCTGGATACTAGCTACAGCACTTTGGGACAATTCTAGAGATAGAGAGGGTATGGATGGACCGCCTGGGGACCTCCCTCCTGATTTCAGGCCAAATATGGATTCTTCTGCTACCTGAGCTCAGTGTCATCAAGGTCTTGCTCCCAGAGAGGACTTCCTTGCCCCGGGCTTTCTCCCAATCTTACTCCTTGGCAAAAACCACAAAAAGATAAAGGTACAGCTGGGCGTGGTGGCGCAGGTCTGTCATCCCAGCAGCTGGGGAGTCTGAGGCAGGAGGATCGTGAGTTCAAAGCCAGCCTCAGCAAAAGCGAGGCACTAAGCAACTCAGTGAGACTCTGTCTCTAAATAAAATACAAAACAGGGCTGGAGATGGGGCTCAGTGGTTAAGCACCCCTGGGTTCAATCCCTGGTACCAAAAAATAAAATAAAATAAAATAAAAATAAAGGTGGTGGTCTTTCACTTTGTATGCAGAAGTGAGAGGTCCTGGGGAGTCAGCCATGGGTTTAAAAGAGGATCCCTTGCCTGGGCAGAGCTCCAGTAGGAAACTGGGCCATCCAGAGCCACTGCCAGGTTTATGGGATGGCCCTGAGCATGGGAACTCTAGGGGTTTTTTTAAAATTTATTTATTTCACTTTATTTTTAAAAAATCAAGCAATAAAATCAGGGTGTGAGGTAGCTAGCATGGTTTTCCAAGGCAGAACAGAGTTTGAACGCAGGTTCGGATTGCCCCTGGGCTCAGAGAGGAGGCCATACTCAGTGATGGTGGGCCACGTGCGGCTGTCAGCTTCATTTCCTCTGCTGAGAGGGGCATATGGTGCTGACAGTTCAAACCTTAAGAGATTCTGTGAGTCGAGGTATGCGTGGGTTATCTGGATGCCGTAAGCATTCACTGAATCCCTTCGTGACTTGGTTTGCTTGGGGACAGACCTGGGGCGTGAGGATGCAAAGTTGTGGTCCTGGCCCTCAGGAAGCTCAGGGGAGGGACGGCACCACAGAGTAGTGAAGGTGCACCCAGGGGTGGGTACAGAGGAGGGGATGCTGCCCGTCTCTCCTTGTGGCTGCACTGTCTCCTGACAACCCCAGGATTTGCCTGGCGTTCCTTCTGCCTCTGAACAGATTGGTTCTCAAGCCCTTGCAGTGCTCTGGGGGGACCTTTGAGGCAAGCCTGTCATACCCTGCCCCTTCTCAGGGCTGCACTTCCTGTGTCCCCCTCAGGTTGTCACCGGGCCTACTGTGGAGATGGTCACCGGCACGAGGGCGTGGAGGACTGTGACGGCTCCGACTTTGGCTACCTGACATGCGAGACCTATCTCCCTGGGTAGGGAAGGCTTTACCCTGCTTTTGTTTGTTTTTACCGAAAATTGAACCCAGGGACTCTTGACCACTGAGCTACATCCCCCTAATCCCTTTTAATATTTTATTTAGAGACAGTTGCTTAGGCTCTCACCAAGTTGCTGAGCCTGGCTTTGAATTTGCAATCCTCCTGCCTCAGCCTCCCGAGCTGCTGGGATTACAGGCATGCACCACTGCACCTGGCTTTATGTGCTAAGACAATCTTCCTCCTGCCTTGACCTCCCCTCCTTCACCCACCTTTCCTTCACACATATTTTTTGAGTGCCTCTCATGTTTCTGGTCCTTTCTAGGCACGGAGGTGGGGCGATGAATAACACAGCACATGGTCCCAACTCACCTGGAGCTTTCTGTTCAATGGGGAGACAGGCCATCAGCACCCAATGTGCCTGCTTCCTCTCAGTCAGAGCAGCCTGCCCCTGAAGCTGAGCCAGGGCAGACACAGTCACCAGCTCTATCCTGGGTCCAGAGGGAAGCAGAATCCCTAAGTCAGCTGGTAATCCCCGGTGGTTACCATGGCCACATGCATCTCCTGGGCGGGCAGTGGACTTGAAGGGAAGCCCAAAGGAAGGTAGAAATGCCAGGGGATTTCCAAGCATCTACTTATCCATCATCAACCTAAATTCCCTGGAATAACCTGCCTTTGGGGGGCAGGCCTTGGCACCCAAGTGAGATCAGGCCAACATTGATATCTAATTTTGCTAATTCATGGCAAGTCCGAGAAAATATTCCCTTCAAGGACCCTGATAGTTATTTCTGAGACTCTCCATCGGTTTTTCTCAACGCCCAGTACAAGTGCGTTAGTGTCTTGGCCTCTACGTTGACATCTCCCAAGCCACCTGAGGGCCACTGGCCCTGTGAGGTGCTGACTCCCTGTCCAGAATGTAGCCTTCTGGTACAGAACCAGAGCTGTAGAAAGTTCTAGAGAAAATAGAGAGACCATTCCCTCCCACCCAATCCACGTTCTGTTCTTCCCTGTGCTCCAGAGTGGATCCACTTGTTCCTTAGGTTTCTTAGATCCCTTATGAATCCGATCTCTTCAGCTTTTACCTCCAATACTTTTCACCTAATAGGTTTGGACTCAGGTCCTCAGCAGGGCTGGAGAACAGACACATAATGTCTGTCTCTCTACTGCCTCCGTTCTTCTCTCTTCCAAGGGGGTCTCCTCAACACCACCCTCCAAACACATGCCAGCATAGTCAACCAGGTTAGTGGAATTGCACATCTATAGTTACCCCCGGCCTGCAAGCCTTAGCCAGGACCCTACTGTGAATATGTATCTGTGTGCATATTGCCTTCCTGAAGCAAGGAAAACTCCTAATAGGCACCTGCCAGAGAGTTGGCAGGGCTGAGCTATTTGATGGCTCCATGGAGACAATTAAGTGTAGACAATCAGGCCGCACGTGATGACACAACGCCTGTAATCCCAAAGGCTGGGAAGGCAGATGCAAGAGGATCGCGAGTTCAAAGCCAGACTCAGCAACTCATCAAGGCCTGGTCTCTAAATAAAATGTAAAAAAAGGGCTGTGGATGTGGCTCAGTGGTTAAGCACCCTTGGGTTCAATCCTGGTACCCTCCTCCACAAAAAAAAAAAAAAAATGCAGACTTTCAGATATAGAGTTCAGGTGGAGCAGAGCCCAGGGCACTGTGGCTATTCCCCTCACCCCAGAAGCCTCAGAGGGTTCTGAATGTATGTATCATGTATAAGACAATGTGTTGGGATCATCACTTGGTTTTACAGAGGTATAGACTGCCTTGTCCAATATGGCATCCCTCAAAAATGTGGCTATTCAAGTGTAAAATAATTAGAATTAGGCTGGGGGGCGTGGTGGTGCATGCCTGTAATCCCAGCAGCTCCGGGAGGCTGAAGCAGGAGGATCTCAAGTTCAAAGCCAGCCTCAGCAACTTAGTGAGGCGCTAAGCAACTCAGTGAGACCCTGTCTCTAAACAAAATACAAAGTAGGACTGGGGATGTGGCTCAGTGGTTGAGTGCCCCTGAATTCAATCCCCAGTAAAAATAAAATAAAATAAAATAAAGGGCTGGGTATGTGGTTCAGTGGTTAAGCACCTCTGGGGTCAATCCCTGGTACCAAATTAAGTTTTAAATTCAGTTTGGTCACAGTAGCCATCTCTTAAGAACTCAATAGCCACATCTGGCCTGTGCAGGTGTTTGGGATGTGTGCATCTTCACTACCATGGGCCTCATGAATGGCACTGGGACCCCTTCAGGACTTAAGGATGCTTGTCCTGCCACCCTAGTCGCTCAGATGAGGCTCAAGGCAAAAAAAAAAAAGCCCGGAGACCCGACTCAACTCCCAATCCCTGCAACCCAAACAAAAATGGAAAGATTTTCATAGAAACCCTGGCCTTTGGTACAGTGGCAGAAAGAGCTACTTTTTGAGGTAGCCTTCTAGAACACGGCTTTGCTCTCAGAACTGGGCAGGAGGAGCTTGCCTGCCCACTGTCCCGTGTCTGCCCTGACCTGTGTCTTTGCCTCCCTCAGGTCATATGGAGACCTGCGGTGCACCCAGTACTGTTACATCGACTCCACACCCTGCCGCTACTTCACATGAGGGGCGTGAGGAACAGGTGGGCTGTAGCCCATGGAACTGGCGGCAGCTTCCTCAACCCTCATCAAGCTGGCCTTGCGCTCTCCTGGGCCAGTGTCCACCAACCTTTGTGTGACAAAAACAAGGATGAATTCTCGCTGCTAAGACGTGCTTTTGACTCTGTCTGACTGGAAGAATTTAGGACCACTGCATCCTGTCTTAATCCAAAGTACCAGAAAACCTTCTACATGCCCACCCTGGGAACTGTTCCCTGTCTCTACCATCTGGCCTAAGAGCCAGCTAAAATGCCCTTTCCTCTTCTGGATTGTCGTTGTCGCAGGCCGTGGACTTGGCTTAGCACTGTTAGACACGTGTAAACCTGCGGGGCTGTTTTAGTTTGTTGGGAGCTGATTTGGGTTCTCGGTCTCTTGGACCTCCGACACGCAGGTGTTCTTACCTGAGAACCACACAGCAGAGAAGTGGACATGTTCTCTCAATATGGCTCACAGCTTTGGACCCCGCCAGGGACCTCTGGTCAGAGGACAACCCGGCTTCATGTGGAAATGGCTCCCCCAGGAAGAGACCCAACTGTGAAAAAGTACTGAGAACGCCACAAAACCCATGCTCACCTTTGCACCGTCCACTCAGAAAAGGACCCCTGAGCAGAGGGTGGAGGCTCAGCTGAGTCACTTGCCTGCAAACAACAGCTTCCTCATGCTCAACAGGAGGAGGTAGTAGGACCTGCCAAAGGCCTCTCACTTCTTGATGTTTCCCACAGCGGGATTCTTAGAGTTGCCAAATCCCTGCCGCCATCTTGATCTTGTGGCTCTCTATACTTTGACCTCTGTCTTGCAAGGAGTGCCCCTCACTTCCATTTCCTGTTCAGGAGACTCACTCCATAAGTCCACACACCTGGGAAGATGTTGGTCTTTCCGTGTTCTTGGGCACATACAGTCCTGGCCTTCCCCATCTAGGGTCCCACTGCAAGGACACTCTCAGCAGACTGTTTCTATCCTAAGGTGCATCTCCTCATTTCCTGATGACTCTTGGGGTTCCCTTTTGTAACTGCATTGTGCACATCCTTGTCCTCCTGTCTGTGTGCCTGCACTCTTCACTTTTCTATAGAATCCTTAGTCCTGACTGTCTGTGAGCCGCTTCTCATGGCTGTCTTTCCTGAGGAGAGCTTGGGTTTATCAGGGAAAGACATCACCAAGATTTCCCCTATTATTTCCAGAAAGAGGGATACACTCCACACTCTGAGCTTTTGTACAAAGCTTTTCAATGAACCTGAGTCTTAAGGACTCAGCAAGCAGAAACTGTGACCCAGCAGGTCATCTGGGTGGTCTGCGGTGACATTATCCCAAAGATGGTGTCTTCCAAGGCAGGAGCATTGATCAGCTAGTTCCCTGGGTCTCTGGGATAAGTCTTGGGGAGTGGGGAGGAGGGGGAATGTTGCTTGCATGGACATCCTGGGACTTCCAGATGAAAGATCAAGAAATAAAGGCATGACGGGTGTGGTGGCACATGTTGGTAATCCCAGCAAGTCAGGAGGCTGAGACAGGAGGATCACAAGTTCGAGACCAGACTCAGCAACTTAGCAAGGCCCTAAGCAACTTAGACCCTGTCTCAAATTAAAAATTAAAAGGGCTGGGGATGTGGCTCAGTGGTTGAGCCCCTGGGTTCAATCCCCGGTGCCCAAAACAGCAACAATAATAATTTAAAAAAAATAAAAATAATAAAAAATTTAAAAAAAGAAAGAAAGAAAAAGCAAAGAAAGAAAGCAAGCAGATTCCTCACCATGGCTCACTCTTCCTTGGGAGGATGAGGCCAGCATTTCAATATGGCTGGCTAGAACGAGGAGCCCGAACTCAGTTGTGCTTCCTGGATTCTACGGAAGGTTCTGGAATACGAAAGCATTCCAGCTTCCTCATGCTCAACAGGAGGAGGTAGTAGGACCTGCCAAAGGTCACAGAGTCCAGTCTTGCTAGCCCAGGCTTCTCTCTAACCTTGCCTTAGGACCTTGTTTGACATGGGTGGAGATCTAGAACTACCCCGAGATCTGGCCAAGAGGGACCCTGCCCTGGGTCCCATACCTTGGAGGGCAGCACTCCTACCTTTCTCTGACCTGACCCTCCAGGGGGGTGGGGAATCCATGGGGCCAAGGTGACACGCCCGCTAGAGCTTGCACACCCGTCCTAGAGCATGCTCTCCAGGTTCCCAGGAAAACACAATTCCCTGCCCAAGATGTCCTGAGCCTGCACCCGCCTCCTCCCTGTGTCTGTCCTCCTGAGTGTGGCCAGTGCACACCTCTAAGTCTGAGGAGTGGCCAAAGAAAAGCCATTCATAAGGATTAGATGGAGGTTGGGGTTTCCATGGGTGCACATGAAGCCGCTCTCAATGTGGATGGGCGAGGGAGGTCAGGCTGGGGCCTGGCCCCTGCTTTCCTAGTGCTTTCATGGTGTCAGGGACTCTGTAGAATCTAAATAGGCCATATACATGGTCTTTATGAAAGTATATTTGTTGAGGTTAAACAGAACAAATTTAAATAATTGTTTGATTATAATGTGAATATTTAGGTATTTGGAATACAGGTGTTCATTTCGCTTTTCTCTGGAACCCAAAATATTAGGGGTGGGCCTATCTCCAGTTATTTCAAGGGAGGGTTTTTGAAAGTCTCAGGACAAAAAAAATGTATTCAAAATTACATGTTTAGCTGAGTGCGGTGGTGCACGCCTGTAATCCCAGCGGCTCAGGAGGCTGAGACAGGAGGATTGTGAGTTCAAAGCCAGCCCCAGAAACTTAGAGAGTCCCTAAGCAACTAGCGAGACCCTGTCTCTAAATAAAATATAAAAAAGGAGTTGGGGATGTGGCTCAGTGGTTAAGTACCCCTTGGTTCAATCCCTGGTACCGCCCCCCAAAATTACATGTTTAAAAATGTATGTAATAATAGTAATTCAGTGCCTTTGGCATTCTGAAATGGAAAAATGAGAGAGATCACAGGAGACAGGTGGCCCCCACCAGCCTGTCCTTGAAATGCTAACTCGGTGATGGAGGAAATAGGTTCCCCTTGAACAGAAATAAGTGCATCACAAAGGGGCACTTGTAAATAGGCTAGGCATTCAAGAGCTCACCTGTGCCAGCTAAATGTTTCCCAAGATAACTTTGGGTACATTACATCTCATAGCTTAAATTTCCACACCTGAAAGAGACTTTAGAAAAGTTCTTCCAACTCTTAATGGCTAATGAATTTGGACTCCGCCCTCTACCTCTAACAGGGTAATCCCTAGGAGTGGTGATGGACCCCCTGTTATGGTTTAGGTGTAGTGTTCCTCAAAAGCTCATGTGTGAGACAATGCAAGAAGATTTGGAGGAGAAATGATTGAGTCATAGCCTTAACCTAATCACTAAATTGATCCTGATGGAATTAACTGAGTGGGAACTGGAGCCGTGTGGGGTGTGGCCGGAGGAAGTGGTTCATCGGGGGCCTGGCTTTGGGGTATGTACTTGTATCTGGCCAATAGAATCTCTCTCTCAGTTTTGTCTGATCACCACGTGAGCTGCTTCCCCATGCCACACTCTTCTGCCATGATGTCCTTCCTCACCTCGAGCCCCAAAGAATGGAGCCGGCTGTCCATAGTCTGAGACCTCTGAAACTGTGAGCCCTCTAATAAACTCTTCCTCCTTTACAATCATTCTGGTCAGGTCCTTGAGTCCCAGTGGCGAAAAAAAAGCTGACTAAAACACCCCCTCAGGCTGAGCCTGTTACATAAAATGGCTGAAAATGTAGGACGGTCTCCAGAGAAGTGGTCAGGAACCAAATGAGGCCATGCCAGGGTCGTATTGATGGGCTCATACAACTTAAAAGCCCAGTGAGAGGTGGAGATCAAGCATGGTTCAATGAAGGCTCCCATTTCATGGCCCTGCTGTCTTCAAGGCTTTTTGGATCTCTTCTGTTCATCTGATCCTTAGCGTGTGGTCATGGGCTGACTATGGCAATTGCAAGAGTATGTCTGAACCCTACGATAACCGCAGAAAACCTCTATTCCATTGGTTCTCAAGAAATTCTTTTCCAGAAGTTCCCAGTAAATCTTGCCTTGCGCTTCCTTGGCCTGTTTTGGTTCTCATGCTCATTTTCTGAATTGGCAGGAAAACGTACCTGCTGATGGAATTACAGCTAGGTTCTGTAACCCATGGCACCCAAGGTTATAATTTCTCTCCGCCTATCCACTGGAGATTCTGCAGAAGCAGAAGCTGCAAGGGGAAGGAATGATTACTGGACTGAATATTGGGGGCAAAAAGAAGGGAAGGGATGCTGAATACACATAATGTCCATTACGGCTGCGACCTACATGGCTGAACCGCCAGAAACCCACGAGGGGCAATGGGAGATTAAGAAAAAACAGGATCAGGTAGTAACCTGACCTCTGAAAACAGTGACCCAGAGCTGGCTCCACACATTTATTATATAGGTTTTATCATCAAAAGGTTATCTGTGAGAGAGTTTCTGCAAAGCAGGCAGGCTGGAGGTCACAGCGCTGATGAGACATTGTGATTATCTGGCTATGCTCAGAATCCTCTAACCCTGGGAGCCAGTGTCTGAGTTCAGAGTGACCACTGGTTGGCATTGCCATAGCAACTGGGCAATGTTAACCTGTAACTTTTGCACAGGGAGAGCCTAACCCCAGCGCACCACAACCATGAGGCGTTCAGACACCTTGTTCCACATCCCTACATTAGAATGGTGATCTCTGTTTTGCTTCTCCTTTTGGCAGGAATAAATGCTGAGACCCTTGGGACACATATTTGGGAAGACTTCTCACACCCAGTAAGCTCATGATTAATTCTGACAGCTCCACTCAGAGAGGCTGACTCTCAGAGGGTGCCATAGGTCAAGAAAGGTGTGGTATCGCTTATAAAAAAGAAGATTCAAATACCACTTTTATGTTTGAAGCATGGTTCTGTTACTGACCCATAATTTAATTGTCTTGCAGAGTTAACTTCTCTGGGTATCTGTATTCTTATCTATAAACTAGGAGTCATAGTATCATATTCCAAGGTTATAATAAATTGCTGACACCTAGAAACTGTTTCATAAGTGTTAGATTTTATCTGTGTCACTATTATATTTTAGTGGCTATGAATACCTGGGGATATTTTTCATTCCCTTTTGAAGCTACTTACATGAGCTCACTTTTTAAATTTTATTTTATTTTATTTTTTTTGGTACTGGGGTTTTAACCTAAGGCTGCTTAACCACTGAGCCACATCCTCAGCCCTTTTTATATTTTATCTAGAGACAGGGTCTTGCTAAATTGCTTAGGGCCTTGCTAATTTGCTGAGGCTGGGTTTGAGCTCATGATCCCCCTGCCTCAGCCTTCGGAGCTGCTGGGATTACAGGCGTGCATCTCCATGCCTGGTTTAGCCCCTAATTCTTCAGGGACAATGAGGACATCGCTTGCCTTATCACTCTCCCTCCTATCACCCCAGTTCTTCTAGATTGGGCTTTTGGTGTTCCAGCCCATAACAATACCATACTCCACCATATGGCCCACCTGCATGCTACCCTCTATCCTTTATCACCTCAGATGGGACATTGAAGGCAGAAATCACAGTCTTGGGTCATCACTTGGGGTTCACCAGTGGGGACTAAGTGGCCCTCAGCCTTATGGGTCATCAGAATCATGTGGAAGACCTGTCAGATCACTGTCCACCACCCCCCCCCATCACCGTTTTTACTTCAGTAGATCCAGAGTGGGGCCTGACAATTGGCATTTCTAACAAGATCCCCAAAAATGCTGATATTGCTTGATCCAGGATTATAATTTAAGAGCCACTGCTGAGGGGGAGATAGCTCATCTGAGAGCAAATGACAGATGAGATGGAAGGAACAAGGGACAAACCCTGGAGCTTTGGGTGGACAAAGCTTTTGATGCTTCTCCTTTAGAGCAGTGGAGACTATTGCCCCTTCCCTGGAATCTACTGGTCTGCTATGACTGATAGGATGTGACACTGTGTGACTTCCCAGATGTCTTGGATTTTTTGCTGCTGCAACTAAAAGAAAAAAAAAATTTAAGGAGGGAAAGTTTATTTGGGGGCTTGTGGTTTCAGAGGTCTCAGTCCATAGACAGCAGGCTCCATTC